TTATTGGAGTAACAGCTTTGGCATCTTGGATATTTTTAGATGATGTTTTCGAACAATCTACGGCTTTGTGTCCAAACAAATCGCATTTAAAAAACGCTTAAATCCTTTACTCTTATTGTTACAAAAAATTCGACTTATGGGCTAAACTTTCACAATTATAACACCTTGGCTCTTTAATCTTACTAGGTACAGCTCGGTTTTATTTTTGTGTTAGTACTTGAATAACCCCTTATTTTTCGTATCTGGAACGCGAATTTTCTCATAAATTTTTAATTTCACTTTGAATTCAGAAAATGTTTTACACCCGTACAAAACAATTTTGTTACTACCTGATATGGTATCCCATTGATTACATAGCAAGATGATGAATCATAACAGAACCGCGACTGGCTATTTCACGCATGGCAATTAAATATTCGGAAAGTGATTCACCAGGTTTTAAGTGTCGTTTTTGTAACAAATATGAAGTTGTGCACTGTTTATTTTAGAACCAAATTCAGATAAAAGATTTTGTTAATTTGTCCATGATATTATACCCTTCAAAGACCTAATAAAATACTTTAGCAGAACCAGTAAGCAAATTTTTTTAGCAAACACAAAATTTTCTGTAATTCCGATAACTTAAAATAATTTAAAAGATTCTTCTAAATCACCAATGAAGGATTCAACTGGATATGTAATCAGTGCATTAAAATTCAGAAAACAGTTTCTAAGATATCACGAAAAATGTAAGGAAATATGCTAGGCAGTATAATGTTTTCATCCAGTGAGTATTTATGGGAGTGATTCTGACCGAACAGAATTAATATCATCATTTTTATCAGAATCATAAACACTTTCGTTTTCAGATAACTCATCATCGTCATCACTTCGGATTTTAGAAGATTAAAATCACAAAGACTATTCAATATTAATCACAGTTTTTATCAGGATTTGAATCATAATTAAGAGGAACAAATTACACACGAAATAAGTCATTTGCAGTAAGAGTTTTAAGTAATTTTTGTTTTGTTTCTTCATATTAAAATCAGATGCAAAATCACAAAAGTTACGCAATCTAGCTCTATTTTTTCGATCACCCAAAGTGCCAAACACAATTGATGTAAAAGTTTAATTGACTTAGTAGGCCCAGTCTTTAAAGAATTTGAAAATTCTAGGAATAGAATTTAAGGTAGTCATCTTAATTCAGTATCATGGAACACTATTATTAGAAGTAAAAATGTGGAAATAATCGAAACAAAACTTAATTCTCTTTTTGTAATATTCATCATGCTTCTTTCCTAGGCTCATACCGGCCTGAGCGCCCAATTCTGTAGAATCGGTATTTACTGTCTAGGAATAGATGTTTGTAAATTACTTCCGATGTGGCTGTCTAGGGGCTAATAAACTAGTCCGATTTACAAATAACTTGGATATTTAATAAAACATGAATAGTTGCTACAAACTACAAAGTAATTACATACGTAGAAGGAAATAGATGAGATTATTTACAGATGAAGAGAAGGAATCGCCTTTACATTTAAACATCTTTTAATCGCGTCATCGTCTTAATGGCGGAATCGTCTGAATTCTATCATCGGAAAAGTAAAAGATTTATTCTCACAGCTTGTCGCGTCATCTGATTATAATGAACGATGCCATCCCACATATATATATATATATGTAATGTACCAGCTTTTGTCCAGAATAAATAGATTGGTGAAGAATCATAAATGTAGTCGTAGCTTAAATTATCAGACGATAAGTTAAAAAAACAGGATCCATTTATTATTATTCAGGAGAAATAGCAATTACAAAATATGATCTTCCGGAGTAAATAAAAAAGAATTACTAATAACTTTTTGTATAAGTTTACTGCATCGTTACATTAAAAAAAAAAAGACATCGATATTCTTTTGCGAGTCCTTTTGTAGCCTCTGGAAAGGCGGAGCTTCCAAGAAATGACGTCAGCCTCGTCAGTCATTCCAGTTCGCTTTAAATATCTCCAGAAAATTCTATAACTGTACGTGTATAAAAGGCGGGAAAAACAACTTGACTACGGGGCTGTGGATTTAATTTCACTTACTTTCAAATAAGAGACCGTTGCCATTAAAAAATGAAAAGAATATACAGTTAGAATTTTAAGTGTATTCTTGACTATGGAATTTTTATTATACATATATATATATATATATATATATATATATATAAGCAAAATGTAAGTAATCAATTTTGTAAATTCAAACATAAACCAGATTTCTGAATATTTAAGCTATTTTTATTAATATCAAGGCAATAATCAAGAGCTTGAATATTTCCTAGCAGAAAAGTCATGGATGGCACATATTATGCTAAATTTACCACATGAGAAAATTGCTCGTTAAATGATACCAGAATATTTTTAAGAAACAAGTTAATAATAAATGTTTATTAATATGCATATATCTGAAACTTTGTTACTTTCTGCTGACACTTTGTAGGAATTTCTTTTTCAGATGATGCCTCCGCACGTCTCCCTTCTTTGGATTTATTAGACTGTTCAAGTTCATCTGCAGTGTCTGTAGTAAATTAAATTATAAAAACTCTGCTTAATCTCACATGATCAAACTACTAAATAGATTAGAGTCCAATTAAATAATACATTATTTTATAAGATTTATTAATGATCACTATGTAGCTGAACTGTTTTATATTCACATGGATCAAAGAAAGATATGCTACAGTTTTAAGTTAGAAATACAAATAGTGAAAACTATTTCACTAGCTATCTCACATTACTCTAATTATTTAAGAGAAAAAATTAATTTCAAGTTCTTTACCCATCGATTGTATAATGGAAAAATAGCAAGAAGAGGAAAATGCTGAACAAATATTACCTGCAGTTAGAAGAATTTTCGCATAATAATAACCAGGCAGTGTTCTACCATCTCTTTGAATTTCTATTTCTTTGTCCACAGTGCATATTTTACCCTGTTCTTTCAAAAGCCGGTCTGGAGTGTCATCTGGTCTTGAACTCCAGAAAACCTCATATATATTTTGCGGATTGTATTTTACGCTAAAGTTCTTTATAAAAGCAGAAGGAAATATCGTTATCTTCTTGTCACAGCAGTATTTAACAAGGGCAAACATGAACAATTCAAACAGCAGATTATCAACAACAGATCATCCTCTAACACCAACTACGATGTTAATCCAACAATTGGACCTTGTTGATGCCAACCGACGTTCGATAAATGTAAATAAACACGACGAACACGTAGATACATATTTGAGAAACAATAATTATATAATTTTTACTCCTTCAATAAGCTACATTGAATTTAATCTCTCATCTCATTTATTAAATGACCTATTTTTTAATTAATGCTTTTCATTACGATGATACCTAGATCAATACTGCAAATTATTTATCCCAATGCTCATTTCTTTTAATGTCATTGTGTAAAAAGACTCAATTCTGCCTGATTTTTGCAGTTTATTATATTTGTGTCTGCGAAGTGTAGCGATAGTGTACAAATGTAATAGCGATTGAAAAGTGTTATGTAAAACGGCGTTGTTTAGACGCAAGCGTTATAAGACTTATTTAGATAGCAGTTCATCGAATTCTTCTGTACCTAAGAGAAGAGCAAACAGGTACAAAGCGTGTGATGTGACTACATCAGATTTCAATTTGCATTCTCAAAGTGTATCTTTTAGTTCTGATCCCACAGAAAAAAGCATGAGAAATAATTTTGGGACTTCAAAAGAATCCATTTTTTCAGCAGATGAATATGACACAGAATGTAAAATGAACGATGATGGGAATTTTCGTTATGATTTGGATCTATTCACGCAAATTTTTTCTGGGTTAAAAATTACTAGATTTTCAGTATTAGTAATGCTTTTGCATTTTTCATTGCGTCATGAATGAGTGGTGTAGCTAGTGCAGATTTAATTAAACTTATCAACGTAATTTTTGAAAATGATGTAATACCTCCAAGTTTATAGTTATTTAAAAAAGTATTTTCATCAAAAATTGTACCTGAAACCCACTAGTATTGTGTCAACTGCAAAAGTTGTTTAGGAAATGACGATAAGTGTAAAAATTTAAGTACTTGTATCTCGCAGTCATTCATTCAATAATAATTATTTCTTTATAACTATACCTATGACTAACCAGATTAAGTATGTACTGGAAGAGCCAGGAATTTTTTAAGCAATAAACAGGCATAAACAAATATCTCTTATGATTCAGAACAAGATTCTGAAATTCTTTGTGATTTAAGAAGTGGTGAAAAAATACAAGGAACTAAAAAGAAAAGGTGTCTTAAGCGATAGAGATTTGACAATTACATTCAGTTGTGATGGATCACCAATTTTTAAATCTGTACAGAATTCTCTATGGCTAATCCACTCCAAAATAAACGAATTGCCACTAAAAAAGAGCGTTTTCAGTCATACCGTACCATGGTTGCTGGATTGTGGTTTGGCAATCAAGGGCCAGTTATGGCTACCCTTTTAACTCGTTTCATTCTGTAAGCAAATGAATTGTATCAAAATGGAATAAATTTTATCAATGATGGCATTCAAGAAAATATCAAGTTTTACTAACATCCTGTGCAGCATATAGTGTTGCGAAGGCTGCAATACAAAATGTGAAACAGTTTAATGATAGATTTGGATGCCCATATCGTTACCCTCCTGGATATTTGGTAGGAAGTCAAATAAAATATAAAAGGAAATGCGAAAAGATATGGAAACTGTTGAAGTTTTAGGAAAAGAAAAGAAAGGAGTGAAAGGCTTAAGCTCACTCTATGTACTGCTTTATTTTGATGTAGTCAATGGCTTTCAAATTCATTATATGCCTTGTTGCCTGTTGGGAGTAACAAAACTTGAACAAATTCTTATAATCATTTATCAAATTACTATTTAGATAAGAAAATAGTTAATGTAATAAATATACGATTACTAAACTTGAAGGTTCCAAGATCAATAAGTAGACGTCCAAGACCATTTTCTGATATGATTCACTGGAAAGCTAATTGAATGGAGGAATAGTTTTATTGCATTACAGTACTCCATGTTTGAATTGTCTGTTACCATTAAAATACTTTAGACATTATAATTATCTTGTATCTGCAGTATGCATTTTATTACAATCATCTACATTAAAATCCGAAATTGATATTGCGAACTGCTATTTGGCAAATTTTGTTTTTGAATATGATTTGCTGTATGGGGAAGTAAATATGAATTTCAATGTATATTTACTTCTTCACCTAAGTAAATGCGTAAGTATTTGGGGATCTTTATGGTTATATTCTGCATTTCCCTTTGAATCTGGGAATGGGCATTTAGTTAAATTAATCAAAGGCACAAAAGGAATTTTGAAACGGATTGCTCATAAATATTACATATATTTAAATATTCCTGCAATCGTAAATAAATATCAAAATGTAAATATTGAAGTATTAGAATATTGTGATGTAGTATGCCATATAAGCTTTTACAAAAATCAGAAGTCTGAGGAGATAGTACAATACTTGGTAAATCACAATCCTTCAGACTTACTATAGAAGAGAAACAAATATTGTGTGAGAATAATATAAATATTTTGGATAAATTATTTAGTGTGAAAAAATTATAATTAATGAAATTATATATCATGTTAAAGAAAATCACAACAAGAAATGTGACGATTTTGTTGTCCAGCTTTATAATGGTTCGTATGTTATTATACAGTCATTTTTTTAATATTAATGAGAAAAATAATTTATTTGCAATATACAGAAAAATACTAATCGATAATAAACAACATTTGACTTCAGCTGCAAGATGTAATCCAATAATTAACCACATTAAAACTTGTAAAACATATATTTATGGTAATCTCAAAATTATTTCAGTAAATTCATTTACAGTGCCTCCCAAAAGTGTTCGTACACTTATGATTTTCATTGAAATAGCGCTCTATCCATTAATTAAAAGTAAGCTTTCTGAATGAGATTTTAATAATAAGATCTATAATCTATTCGTAACAAAATTACATGAAATATTTTTAAAATATAGCGAAACTTTATTTTTCAGAAATTAATAATCAAAAAATGATAAACATTTTATCTCACAAAAGTCTTCGTACACTGAAATATTTTTGGATAAAATCAAAATTACAATTACCGTTTGCCGCTTTTTTTAATTTTTGCATTGTGGTGGAATTTATAAAAATGTTTGCTTTAATTTGTTATTGTTTACTTCATAATATTCAATTTATTATTGAAAAATAAGTCGCAGTCGTAAAGAAAGTCGCAGTCGTACTGGAATAAAACGACAAACCGCATTCGAAAATTGGTAATTGTTCCCCACAGTAGTGTTAAATCAATTCGAAATATCGCTTATCCCATTCTTTAGTGCAGTGTGTAATAAAACGCATTAAAGAAGAAAATCGGATTGAAAACAAGGTAAGAAAAGGGCGACCGAAAAAGTTAACTAAACATGATGAGAGATTTATTATTAGAAAATTTGTGAAAACCCCACGTTTGAGTGCTGTAAAAGTTTTTGCAGAATTTAATGCAAAGTTTTCTACTTCAATTTCACCTGAAACTGTTCGACGAGTTCTCAGAAAAGCTGGATTACATGGGCATTCTGCTCGTAAAAAGCATTTTGTTAGTGAGAAAAACAGAAAGCTAGCTTAGGCTTTCATTCGCAAAATCTATTCGCAAAAAAATAAATAAATAAATAAATAAATAAATTCACCCGAAACGTACTGGAATAATGTCCTATTTGCTGACGAAAGCAAATTTAACATTTTTGGTTCCGATGGTCGAATAACTGTATGGAGAAGAAAAAATTGAGGAACTTCATTCTAAGAACTTAGTTGGAACAGTTAAACATGGCGGTGGAGGTGTTCTTGTGTGTGTGGGGGGGGGCATGATAGCATCAGGACTAGGTAATTTGGTATTTATTGATGGCATAATGAATCATTCTCTTTATTTAAATATTTTAAGAGACAGACAGACAAAGAGACAATTTAAAATTATCAGCCCAAAATTTGGGTATTGAAAACAACTTTATTTTTAATCATGATAACGATTTTAAGTTCTCTCAACGTTCGCCTGTGGTGTCTCTATAATTGCCCACAGGTTTTGAAAACACCACCTCAGTCACCAGATTTAAACCCCATAGAACACTTGGAAAGAGCTGGAGGTTAGAAGTACGAAAACACGACATCAAAACGAAAAAGCAAGCTCAAAACAGTCCGTTGATGGAAGAATGGATGAACATTGAATACAGAAAATTACAAAAAAAAAAAAAAAAAAAAAAAAAAAAAAAAAAAATCTAGTAAAATCTATTCCCAGATGTTTAAAAGCTGTTGTGGATGCTAAAGAATATCCTACTAAACATTAATTTAACGAAAAATGAAAATATTTACTAATATGCCAAGAATTTTTTGAAGTGTACGAAGACTTTTGTGAGATAAAATGTTTGACATTTTCTTGATTATTAATTTCTTAAAAATAAAGTTTCGCTTATTTTAAAAATATTTCTTGTAATTTTGTTACGAATAGATTACGGATTCTTATTATTAAAATCTCATTCAGAAAGTTTACTTTTAATTAATGGATAGAGCCCTATTTCAATGAAAATCATAAGTGTACGAACACTTTTGGGAGCCACTGTATGTGCAAAAGCATGTTGATAAGTGTGGAAGAAAAATTCTACATTAGTGATTTTCCCAATGTTTATGAAAAATAGTATTAAAAACATTAGCGAAGAAATAAATCATTGTGTAGTCATAGTACTATTCATTTCATTGTCATTCGTAGTTCAGAGTGAAATTTAATGCAGATATGGTTTGTTGGAGATTTATTAATTGAAATTAAATAAATGATGTTTCTCCAAATGTATTTAAAAAAATTCTTTAGTTTATATATTCTAAAAATGTATGTATATTGCTTAACATGTATTTTATATATAATTGACATTTTCCTGAATATGTATTTATTTGATTTGAGAATTACAGAATGGCAAACACTGTAACTTAAATTTGGCTTTATATAATTTAAACAGCAGTTGAGCACTGTTGTGTGTATAAATTTTTATTACTGAGTTTGAATTCAGAATTATGAAATATACTATTTCTTATAAAACTCTTTGTATGTATTTTTTGTATTCTCTCTCATAAAAAAACAGTGTCAGTTTGTACATCCAATGTACAAACAGGCACTGCTTTCAGTATTATTTTTACTAAAAGTAAATATGCTATTTATCCACATGCATGTATGTATGTTTATATAGTGTATAGGAAAAGTAAATAATTTATAAGGCCACTGGGCACATCATGGTTGACTAATGATTAATTACAAATAAATTGTTTGACATGCTTTTGACAAGTAACAGCTTTTATAGGTTAAATGTACAACTGCAGAAACACAATTCCATTGTTAGTATGATTTAGCGTTACTTCATCTCTATATCTATTTATCTTGATTAGCCGTGGAGATTTGAGTATGTTGAATTCCAGTTTCATAGCTAACTTACATATTTCAAATTGTGTGAAAGGTGAATGACTAAGTATTCAAACAAGTGTTTGTTGCAATAAGTTATAGCGATGCATACTTGATTGGTATTTAGTTTCTTTTTGTTTCAAATGACTTTTTAATGTACAATTTTTTTAAAAATTGTTATTAAATTTGAAAATTATTAAATTTTTGCAATTATTTGAAAATTTTATTATTTTAATATTTTTGTGTTTGAAGCTCTTTAAAATGCAAAATAAATTCATAGTTACATTTAAACTGATTTTTGTCTTTCTAAGCTTTAGCAGTCAAGAAAATATTTTTTCTATGCATTATTGATTACCTTATAATAAGTGTAATAATGAGTTGTATGTATTTGCATCAGAAGAAAGCACATACACATATACGGGATAGAGAAAATGATAAAATTTTGCCCTAAGAGAATAAAAATATTTTGACAATTTATAAAATGTTTTATTTCAAACTCTGTGCATGATATCTGTGCACAGTTATTTTTCTCAATATGAATGTATGTAAAGTAATATAATAACCTGTTTAATACTGACTAAAATAATTTAAAAAATAGTATAGCACATACATTTATTCAGTTTATATTTCTGTTTCGGGTGACCGGTGTCCAAACTGAAAAACTTTAATATTTGTAATAAAAAGACTATGTTAATGAAACAACCTGAATATTTGCAACACAAACATAAATAAATTTGTATTAGTTTCTTTTGTACTAATGTCAGTAATAAAATCTTAGAAAACCATATTATCAAAGTTTAGTGATATCAAATTTGATTATCAGTAGGTTTCTCTTGGTGCAAGTACATCCCCTCCCGAAAAAGCACGAAGTCAATAAACCAGCAGAAAGAGTATACTTGCATCGGTTTGATTGTATCAGGTTTCTGTTGACATCAGCAGCCCCCCCCCCCAAAAAAAAAACTGAAAGTCAATATAAAGTAGTGAATCATCAGAAAGTACTGTTGATATTGATTTTTGGATTGGATTTTAATACTTTGACTTTATTGATACCAGCAAAAAAAGTCCGAGTAATAATCAGTATAAGTCTATGCACACTCTTACTGGTTTCTGTGGACCCCATTCAGATTTCCCATGATACCCGTAAGACAAACCAGTAAAAATCTATATAAACCATTAGAGGTCTATACAGACCAGTAAACTTTTATGGGTTTCTATGGGGCATTCTTAGAATTCTATTGGTACCCATAAGGAAAACCAACAGAGATCAACAGAAAGCAATAAAGTTGAAAGAAACCCATAAAAATGTTTGTGGGTCTGTACGGGGTATTCTTAGGATTCTATTGGTACCCGAAAGAAAAACATGTAAAATCCATAAGTGTTTACGGGTTTCTGTGGGGCACTTTAGGATTTTACTGGTACCCGTAAGAAAAACGAGTATAGATCTGTGGAAAACAGCAGAGATTAATAAAAACCCGTAAGATTTTACGGGTACCAGTAAAAATGTTTCTAGATTTTTACGGGGTATTTTTAGCAGGGGACGCTTAGCGAGAAAATTAAGAAACTTTAACAAATCCTCTTCTGAGACGTTAAAATCTGAATCCTTTCATATTTTCTTTCTTTCTTCCTTTTTATTTTTATTTAATAAAAGTAATAATATTTGTTTCTTATATATGTATAAAAAAGCGCATACAAATGATGAAGTAGCATAGTTTTTTAGCATGCAAAGCACTAGAACTATTTTCACTATACCACTTAAATCATCCATCGTTGTATAACACAGGTTTTCTAAACCTTTTCTTGCTCCATGCATCTCTTTCACCATCGCTAGATGATTATTCTCTTCCCTTTATAAAACTCGAAAACTACATATACAGTTATTTAAATTTAGATTATTTTTAATGTGTTTTAGAAATTAAGAAAAATTCAGAAAATATTGTTAAATACCAAAACTTGAGGAAAAATATGTTTTTATATTCAGAAACTAAAACTAAATACTTAACACGTAAATAAAAGGCTGATCACATCTCCTCCTGAAAATATGAAATCCCCACTGGATCAGAAACCCTGGGTCTAATATTTTATAAATCTGAAACTTTGTTGGCAACATTAGAGATTTTTTGGATTTCCCAATAAAGATGCAATCATCATCAATTTACCGTTATTGTGCATCATGTCTTATACAGCAGAAACGTGTTATTTGGAATTTGAAAAGTTGTCTTTCTATGTTCGAGTTTCAAGGATTGACTTGTTTATTTGCTGAAGACATAATAAATACAATTAGTTTTTTGGAGAGTCAGATTTGGCAATATTTTTAAAAGTTAAGTAAAAGAAAATTTATTTCTGCGTCATCCATTTTTCTTTCTCTGTAACTTTCTATATCGAATGTTCAAAACTCTCTTCTAAGATCTGGCAAATGATGAAGCATGTTAAAAAAGTCTATCGTCCGAAC